TTTCGCTAAAACTTTTGAAAATTTTCATAATGTCATCATAATTATTTTTTAAGGCTTTGACAGCATCATAGTGGCAAGGCCATCTTGTCTGGCTTAAACTTTTTAACCTGAATTTTAATTTTATTTCACGATTCAACAGTTCCCACCTATGGGTCTATTGATTTTCGCGGGGCCTGGGGGCCCCTTGTAACCTCGGGGCCCTGGGTTGCAGCCCACACAGCCCGTAGGTAGATCCGGCGCTGCTGGACGCGCATTTTGATAAGAATGTTAGCAACATCAGCAGATAATTAAAGTTGTTTTAATCATCTGCTGTATTGTGGTGAATTTATGTTTTATTTTGCTGTTGTATCATCAAAGCTCCAACTGTAATAATAATGAAAATAAGTATGTTTTTCAAGTTAGGTCTATTATTGTTGTTTATATGCATTGTGCTCGATACTATTGTTCCATCCAGGTACTTCAGATATACAGGGTGGCGCCTTTCATACGCCGCGGAAGCTGCAAGGAGAACGGTAGTTTATATCGAATTGAAATTTTCGCAGCATATCTAGGTTAACTGAAAGCATTTTACAAAAATATATAGAATTATACAGGGTGTTCTCAAAACAGTTACACGTCAAAGTTGTGTTTTTTCACCCTATATATTAATTGATTTTCGGATTGTAGGAAAAAAATTAAGGTGAGTTTTGTTAAAGACGCATATACCTAAAATCCTTGTTTATATATTCTTAAAGTTGGTCAACCGACTAGACAAAAGGTGCTGCTAACTGGAGGACAAATCGTGAACCTTTCGGGGCGGAGTCAAAAATATCGATTATTTTCGTTATTTTGCTCAGAGTAATGTAATAATATAGCCCCGGGTATCTGCGAACTTTAATAGTGATCAGCTGATTAAGAAATTTAAACGAAACTTTTATTTTATTGTAAACTGTGGATTATTTTTGCCTGTTATTTTAAGAATTCTAAACTGTATTAACAAAGAAATTATTATTTCGATATGTTGGTACATTATTTATAATTTATGATAATTTTATGCTAATTGGCTGTTAATTAATATTTAAAAAAAAGTTACATACCTTTTTTAAGTTGATTTAATGCAGGTTTATAAAAGAATCATTTCATTCTTAGATTATTTTATTCTAAATTGAGTGCTGAATTTTACGATATTTTTTTTTTGAAAACATAAAACTTTTTACATTTTTGATGCTAACTAATTGGCATGGTATTATTGTTATGGAAATTAGCCAAGAAAGAAAAGAATTGGCTATAACTTGTAATTTTTCGAAAAAAAGATATTATACCTATCACTGAAAAGCTTAAAAAATGGCGCTTTTTATGAAGTCATGGCCAACTATGGTTTACTAAAAAAACATATGTTTGTGTCATATGTCAAAAATGACAGACTTTAGAAAAAAAAACGAAAAACACAAACTCATTAGGTATGTGATTATCTACAACTTTTATCTGAAAACTTTTTGTCTAAAATACCGTATGATCGAATAAAAACGGCGTCAGCGATGGCTATGAAATGACGATCAATGATATTTCCCATATAATTTTACATATAAAATGACAGCGATCTTCACTTCATAGCCATCGTTGACGCCGTTTTTATTCGATCATACGGTAGATTATAATGGAATTAGAGACAAGTTTTAAAATAGCCAAAATTTGTTTTTTTTTCGAAATATCTAATAAGCCTTGAAAATCCGAAAGGCGCATATTTATGACCCCACAAAACTGCAATTATTTCCCCATTAACCGACTCTCTATCTCCAGTAGTTTCCGAGATGCCCATAGAGAACATCGTAGGAAACTCACCCTGTATAGTATTTTGAAACTAACTATTGTTATTATTTGACTAGTTTAATTTGATTAATAAGGCTAGATTAATTTAATTTCAAATAAATTTGATCAGATTTTTTTTTCGTATATTCTGCTACCAGAAAACCAAGATTATATGATAACGCACTTTTCAACGAAGTTGAAGGAAGATATAGTGTATCTATCACAATACTTAATAGAACTACTACAATTATTACAAGAAAAACAAAAAGAAGAAATACCCAAATACCCCTTCACCTACTACTCAACTACTAAATAAACGAATATAATCTCTTAAAAACACTACACAACTACTTATTCTTGTATTCTACACTGAACAAATTATCAAACTTACTAATTTATCAAACAAAAAGAAAAAATAACAAAATTATCCCTTCACCTACTACTTAACTACAAAATAAACTATAAAAACACTAATTCAGAGTAACAAAAAATATTTTTCTGTAGGGAAACCGGTCCTGCCATCTAGTAGTCTTAGTCCATAAACGTCTTAGGTTGATCTACTTTAAAAATATATATTCAAGGCTAAAATCTAAGGATTTTGACATATTCCACATTTTGTGAAAATGAAGAGTAAATTTTAAATTTCGATAACAGCTACCTAAATTTTAGTTGACCTTGTATAACCTGATATTTAATTACAGTAACCGTTGTATGTTAAACCAAATTGAAATTTGACCCGAAGAGTTATACAGGGTGAGACAAAATTAATATGGAACATTAGTCACTCTTAAAAGCTCTTTGTGAAATTGCAGTATAAATTTTAAGGCTTCATTTCTCCGAGGGTATCAAAGTTTTTAATACTAAATATTTACTGAAGTTTATTTATTGATCAGTTATTGTGTTGCAGTAATAAAAATTATACTACCTTATACAGAGTGTCTAAAAATTTATTTTAAATAATTACTAAATTTAAACGGCAATAACTTGTGTAATTTAAATGGAACACCCTGTATATTTTATGAGAATCAGATGTACAATTTAATTGTCTATCGAATTGTGTTATACCACTTTTTACCTATCCCTTCAAGTTTTCGTAGAAAATGCATTTTCTTATAATTTAGACCTCATTTATCAATATACCCATGGAATATTGACATTTTAGATTGTTTTTAAAACAACAAATGTACAAAATGTACAGGCTAGTAATATTATCGTTTTTAGTAAAACGATAATATTACTAGCTCATTTGTATGCAAAAAGAAAACTATTTAAATCTTTATAAAAGAAAACATACCATTAATTAAATATATAGTCTATAAATTGAATAACTTTGAATTTTGACCGTTATTTTTTACCAACATGGCAAATATAAAATCCCTCTGTCAAAAAAGTTACTGATATTCTTTAAATTGAGTGCCTGAACGAACTATATCGACAATATTAGTATCTGTACTGTTTAAAAATTTGGTACATCTTTAAAAATAATCTAAAATGTCTGTATTCCATAGGTGTATTGATAAATGAGTTCTAAATTACAAGAAAATTCATTTTCTACGAAAACTTGAAGAGATAGATAAAACATGGTATAATACAATTTGATAGACAATTAAATTTTGCATCTGATTCTCATAAAATATACAGGGTATTCCATTTAAATTAAACAAGTTATTGCCGTTTAGAGCTAATAATAATTTAAAATAAATATTTAGACACTCTGTATAAGATAGTAAAATTTTTATTATTGCAACACAATAACTGATCAATAAATAAACTTCAGTAAATATTTAGTATTAAAAACTTTGATACCCTCGGAGAAATGAAGCCTTAAAATTAATAGTGCAATTTCACAAAATTGAAAATATTTCAGAAACGGTAAGATATAAGTGTAATAAACCTTAATCAAATTTACCTTTATTTTAATCGTAGAAACTGGAAATATAATAATATACAGGGTATTCCATTTAAAAAAATACAACTTTGATATTTTTTATTTATTTGGGACACTCTGTATCTTGTAAAAATATTTTTAAATTGTAGCTCTAATAGTCCTTCAACGAACCCAAAACTTACAATTTGTAAAAATCTAATCGTTTAGCTACAATATTCCGTGTCGTATGTGGTGAACAACCATGTATATGTATAGGTTGTCAATGTCATTTCCTAGCCAACTTGACGCCATTTTTTCTGTTTCGATTATAAGATATATTCACAGAACATAAATACATAATTAAAATCTTAATAGCTAAAGGCAAGGATTGAACTATATACACTCTAGTATAGGTACTTAAATATATTTTTTTTTACTTTGAATACTTTTTTGAAGAATATATGTTATTTATAACGGAAATTATTATAAATACTATAGGATGCATCTGTTTAAATAATATATTTTTGGATTTTTACGTTTCTTTTCAAAATTACCAATTTTAAAAAAGAATTATCTCGTCTATGGAACTTTTCGATTTACCTAGCGCATTCGCCATACTTGTTATACATATTCTGTATAAATTTTATATATTTTTTAGTAATCTAATTTATCGTAATAATAATATGATCTGCCACAAATCCATAATTCTGAATTATTAGACTTCGCAATCCTGAAAAAATGTGTAAATTTAAATATTAATAAATATTTGAAGACGTTTTAGAGGTAGTCTAGTTTAACTGGCTAAGTATTTAGTATTTATCCAGGTATTTATCTAAAAAATTTGTTGCATAAAAGGCAAGAAAAACACTAGTTATTAGTTAATAAAACTGTTTTCTGATTCTGGTTGAGTAATTTATCATGTTATTACAATTTACAATAAGCCCCTCAATTCATAAAATTTAGTTCAAACTTTTTTCACTTTTTTCACAATGGCACCACCTGCATATCCCTTCTTTTTTGTATTTCAGGTCTTAGAAGAACCGAACCACAGAATAAAGAGAATGTTATTCTTCTTATTTCAATTTATGGTTCGAAACACGGGTATCCACAGATTTGATATAGAATTACTCTTCTTAACTCTTGAATGGCTTGAACTTATGTAGCTCATACGGCCTGTGTCCCAACCTGTGTCCAGAAAAATTAATCGAAGAGAGAGAGTTATCTCTGCTCTAGCTCAGAGACATAGAAGTAGTTCTGGTAACCTTTATGGGTGACCTACTTCTATGTCTCTGTCCTTGGTGGTCTCTGCATAAACTGCTCTGGCTCCTTTTAGACTTGTAAATGTTGCCAGCGGAATCCTACTAGAAGAAGAATGTAGACAGTAACCTAATATTTTATCTCAAATCTCAAGTTTTCTTAGTAGAGTTTAATTTTAGGAAATTAGGGTTTATTATTTATTCGAGATATGAACATAATTAGGAGTATAGCGAAAAGAATATCTCTCCATCCAACAAATGCATCCTGGGCTTCGACAAATTCTATATTTCAAGAGGCCAGAAGATTCATTGCAAGTTCTGAACCTTCTTCAATACTATGTAATAGATTTTCTGCATTAACAGTCCAAGGTAGGCTTAAAACTTATCGTTCTCCTATTTCACGTAACCGAAAAATAAAAAAAAGTACTATGCCTTCTCTACAGGAACAACTTTTACGAAGTGCTGTAACTGTATCTATCACAGATTTTTTTATTTTACAAAAGTTCGTCACACACAAAATCTTACACAAACCGTCTACCGTCGTCTGTAAATAAAAAAAAATAACAATGATTATAAAATACAGAGGTATTGGATATTATCAACAATATTATAGTTTCCAATACTGCAAAGTTTGGGCTTATATCAAATTAACAAAACACCTCAAAGTAAGTAGTGTAGAATGCAGGAGTTAAATATAAGAAAAATGCAAAGAATATAAGTTTTCCCAAAGGAAATGAATAATTAAAAATGTTACTAATACTTTTTTATGTTTCATTCTGTGATAAATAGTAGTACCTAATAGTAGTAGTGGGAACTATCGAATGAATACTATCGAAACATTCGATAGTTGCAATTCATTCGAATAATTCGATAGCTAGTAAGAAAACATTCGTTGAAAACTATTTGAATAAAAATTATCGAATAGATGCGTCATCTGCCTTGAAATATTGTATTCTAGTAATTCGGCAGCAAAAACCATTCATTTATGAAATTCATTTATTCCTCAGTATCGATTATAATAAAATATTAACTGGATTGTAGTTGTCGCCCGGCGACGTAGGTTTCTTTCCGAGAAACCCGACAGCAGTCCCTGGCAATGCTACGAAAGAAGCCTGCATCTTTGATTTTTTGCAGAGTCATATAAAGATAAGGACACATTATTTTTTATTGAGGTGCTAGTATTTACACAGAAAATACATTATGAAGGGCGCTGTTGCCATATATTGGTATTAGTTGATATTAGCAAAGAATATTATTGTTTGGCTTTAGTTAGTTAGGCCGGATAGTATGTCTATATATTTTGCATTTTTTTTATTAATATTCTGTTGTTACACTGCAATAATACTTGTTATTTTGGATGTAGGAAAATGATTTTTAATGTTTTTAAGCAAAGACTGGTTTAATAAAAATAATAATAATAGTAATAATTTGTTATACCTATTAACAACAAAATTTAAAATAATTTAATATAAACATTTTTTTTTACGTAGTAGCAAAATATAAACAACAAATTAGATGTCAAAATTATTTATATTAGATCCTATTTAAAAATAATATGGTCTTTAAATTTTTTGTGGCAACGTTGGTTTATTAAGTAATAATAATTACAGAACTAATTTGTTGTATTAACAACAAACTTTAAAATAATGAAATATAAACATTTATTAATTTACTAAGCATGCAGTGTAATGGAAGCAAATATAAATAAAAAATTAGAAAGCAAAATTATTTATATTAGGTACTTTATATTACTATTTAAAAATAATATTTACTTATATTGGCATTTACTTTAAAAAATAAATGAAATATTTCTTCGCGAAAAACTACATGTAAGAGAATTAGCATAAACAAAATACAAACAACGTTAACTTTTTTTTTAAATTGGCACGTGTAAAACTTTCAATTTAATTTTCTTACCCCATAGTTTGAGTTCGATAACCATTTACTTAACCACATTACTTAAATATGATTATTAAGTTCAACTAATTCATATTAAAACATCTAAAATACAAAGATGTATTTTTAAAATTAATTCTAAGTTCATCTCATCTCTCTTAAAAATTGCTACTTCTCAAAATTTCCCATTAAAAAATAGACCATATACCATATAAAATAAAATAATTGAAAGATCGGGCTACGAAAAATCACACAAATTTTCGGAAAAATTTTGACTCCTGCACACGCACACAATCGTCAATTAAAAAAAACGACTATTTTAGTATTTTAAATATTTTAATAAACGCAAAAATAGCACAGTATTTATAAGGCGAAGTTATAAAAATTTGGAAGAACTAATAATGCACTGACGCACACAAAAATCAAACGAATACTAAATTTCCTTTATCAAAAGCATTCGATAGTCGTGGCTCAACGATAACCATTTAGTCGTACGGCGAGGTTGTCACATATGCTTTAGTATACAAATGAATGAATGATCTTATTCGAATAAAACCATTCGATAGTTGAAATCATTCATTCAGTAACCATTCGATAGTCTAATTCATTCGATAGTTCCCATCGCTACCTAATAGTTTTAATTTATAATTATTATATGGTTTGTAAAATATCTACACTTTTTTATAATGCATATTGTTTATATAAGTCGAATAACACATCAACTTTAGACATATAACTGCTAAACACAATTTGAAATAACAATTGAATTTGTTTTGAGGTGCAAGTGTCATTTGAAAGATTGAGTAAGTGAAGTAATATTTAATGGAAAAAATTGACAAGGTCACAAGCTAAAGACCGAAATTAAAGATCTGTACTTCATTTTTGCTGAAATCTTAGTATATTCAACTATTGGCCTACAAGTATTATTTTTAATGATTTAGTGACAATATGGCGAGGGCGATTTTTAAAACATAAAAACTTTTTTAAACGATCGAAGAATTAATTATTATTTTATTTTTTATATTACAATATTTTTGTAATCTACTTACGGAGATGTTTATAGTGGATTTAGTTTATATTAATGATAATTTGATAAAATATTGTGATTTAATATTTATTAAGTACGTCTTTTTTATTTTCTGGCGAATGCGCTAGGTATTAAAATAACCACTAAATCTTTAGTCTTCCAAGATGTTACCCTTATAATATGTTTTAAATAATAATAGCATGAAAATCTCAAATTATTCGCCTTCACAAAAAATCTTTTATGAAATTCGTTGCCAAAAGCAACGTACGCATTGTCCAATTTTGCGTCCCGTGCTTAAAACACATTCATTTCGCAACTTGTTACATAAATAGCTGTTTCGTACTTTTATGCTTAGGCGTAAAAGTGATTTACTTTTATGCAAAGAATATACCTACCTAGAAAAAGAATGGACTCTGCCATAATGAAAAATGGTCCTACAGAAGGTCCTACATCTATTGAGTAGGGCTTGTTCTAAATGGATCGTAGCGCGGGCTTTTTAAATCAGCGTATTTATTGAATTTTACTCTATAATAATTAGATTTGATTATTAAATCTTATTTTTTACACAAATTCAACAATACTAATAACAAGTATCGTTGTGATGTGTAAAAAATAAGATTTAACAGTATAATTTATACAATTATTAAATAAAATTAAAGCCAAACATGTGAAATATTATTTGTTACTTAAAGTTTTTATTTATAAGTCAAATATTTAAACATCGTTTATTATAATAAAACAAGACCAACGTAATACGCCCAAAGTTTTGTAAATGGAGTAAATATAAATAGGTACTTAAATGATGGCAAAAATAAAAGACTTACATTATATTTTTAGGTTTGGTTTGGAATTGTCTAATTAAAACACATATAACAAATTATAGTTTGAAAAACGTTTTGATAATCATTTGATAATATTATGATTGGCGCCAGGGGCGGGAAAGTGAAATAGCAAAAGCGGTTCCACCGTTTCCACGGAAATTTCAAATAAAATAGTTCCAGCCTCAGGTGCTAGGTGTTAGTGCAATTAATTTTTAGGTTAAGAAGTTGCTACTAGTTATTGCCAGATGGCGTTAAATCAGAATTTTTTTGTAGTTTCCATAGTTTCCAAAGGCCATTGTCATACTATTGTCAAATTCTCAAAAAATATTGTCGTTGTCATAGCGCCAATCATAATATTATCAAAACGTTTTTCAAACTATAATTTGTTATAGGTATGTGTTTTAATTAGACAATTCTTTTTGTTTGTGGCCCTAAAAATATAATGTAAGTCTTTTATTTTTGCCATCATTTAAGTACCTATTTATATTTACTCAATTTACAAAACTTTGGGCGTATTACGTTGGTCTTGTTTTATTATAATAAACGATGTTTAAATATTTGACTTATAAATAAAAACTTTAAATAATAAATAATGTTTACACATGTTCGGCTTTATTTTTATTTAATTGTATAAATTATACTGTTAAATCTTATTTTCTCACATCACAACGATACTTGTTATTAGTATTGTTGAATTTGTGTAAAAAATAAGATTTAATAATCAAATTTAATTATTTTAGAGTAAAATTCAATAAATACGCTCATTTAAAAAGCCCGCGCTTCGATCCATTTAAAACAAGCCCTACTCAATAGATGGCGCCACTTCTGTGGGACCATTTTTCAGTATGGGAGAGTCCATTCTTTTTCTAGCTAGGTATATTCTTTGATTGGCGCTATGACAACGACAATATTTTTTGAGAATTTGACAATAGTATGACAATGGCCGTTGGAAACTATGGAAACTACAAAAAAATTCTGATTTAACGCCACCTGGCAATAACGAGTAGCAACTTCTTAACCTAAAAATTAGTTGCACTACCACCTAGCGCCTGAGGCTGGAACTATTTTATTTGAAATTTCCATGGAAACGGTGGAACCGCTTTTGCTATTTCACTTTCCCGCCTCTGCTTTTATGCCTATGCGTTAAAATGACTTTTAAAATGTCAGTCACGTCACAAAATTAATACTTTTGTGACGTTTGAAAAAAATATTTTGAACACGGGCCCGCGACTTCCTCGCCACGACACTGATTACTTTATTGAATTTTGGGTATTTTTCTAGAAAGATTACTGGCAGATATGGTAAAATCTGGCAATACAGGACTAGGCTTAGCGAACCGGGCCCGATCATTATCGCTTCGGCCTCCCAATCACGCAGCGTCACCCTTTCAAAAGGGCAGGTGACGTACGTCCGTCCATCCTGTGCCCTCGAGGGACATTGTCCATCGTATGACAGACGTGACGAGGGGGGAGGGGGCGGGGGAGGACAGTCGAAACCGCAAAACGACGTAGCTGGTGGAGCGTACATCGTATCTGGGAGCGAACGGATTGCACACGATTGAATGGAGCGGGGGAAGGGCCCTAGCGGAAAAATAATGGCCAGATTAGGAGGACCGAGGCTGGACGTTGCGATGACCACACACGTTCGCGCGGAGAACGGTTTGAAATGATTTACAGTGTTGTGGTTTATTTCGATTGACGGGTTTTGATATATGTCCAGTTTCTGGAAATAGGGGAAATAAAAATAATGAAGATTATAAATTCTTTTGTTTTTTTGTGAAGTTTTTGAGAGAATTTTTTTTCTAATTATGACATTTAAATTGATAGATTTTTGATAAATGAAAGTTTAGATTGGAAAGTGACTAATGATAATAATAAGTTCATAGAGTCACTATAGGTTCCTTAAAATATATTTTTCTCTTGCATGCTTATCTTTTGCTATGACTTCATTATCTTGTAAAAATGAAAAACAAGCACTATTACATTCTGGCACAGAATATCTAGTTACGCAACAGAAGCCTCGTTACATGTATAAAACTGTAGGTAGCAAAAGGAGACAGGCTTTAAAGGCCTGTCTTCAAATCAGATATTTTGATGCGGTAGTTTCGCTACTACATAATAGAGGACGATAAACTTAAAAGAAAATAGTTTTCTACAAACGAAATTTAAAATAATTTTGTGCAGTGTTGCCATTGTGTAATTCATATTGTAATATTTTCTGATAAATCCTACCTTCAAATTTGCTACATCATTTAAACATATTAAAATAGCTCAGTGCTCTTTTTTCAAACGTTTAAGTCAGGTTTAAGTACGTATTTAACTTGCCATATTAGTTGGGGTTAAATCTTACGACCTGAATTACAATCAGTTCCTGACGTTTGATTGTAATTGAATCCTGAATTTTGATTGTAATTCGGCGACAATATAATAAGTATTGTTCTACTATTATGATACCACTTCCTGACGTTCAATTGTGTTCATACTTTATACCGTATGATCGGGGAAAAACGGCGTTAGCGATAGCTATGAAATGAAGATCGCTGTCATTTTATATGGGAAATAGTATACTATAATATAGTACCATATAACGATACATGGCGTTCGATTGAGCTTAAACTTGGTATTCTACTTATCTTTAGTAACATTGTAATATTATGGTACCATGGAGCATATAAAGTGGTACCTTCTATATTACTACATTACGATACCACTTCCTGACGTTCGATTGGGCTCGTATTTGATATATACTTGCATATTTTTGACGACATTGCAATATTATGGTACCATGAAGCCATGAAGCATATCAAGTGGTACCATACTATAATATAGCACCATATTAGATACATGGCGGTTCATATAGGGCTTAAACTTGGTATACTACGTATCTCCGGTGACATTGTAATATAATGGTACTATGATGCATGTAAAGTGGTACCTTCTATATAGTACCATATTACGATACCACTTCTTGACGTTCGATTGAGCTCATATATTTGATATATAATTTCGTATTTTTGATGACATATTGCAATATTATGATACCATGAACCATATCAAGTGGTACCATAATATAGTACCATATTACGTACATGGCGTTCGATTGGGCTTAAACTTGGTGTACTACGTATCTTCGGTGACATTGTAATATGATAGAACTATGATGCATATAAAGTGGTACCTTCTATCGTACCATATTATGATACCAATTCCTGACGTTCGATTGAGCTCATATTTGACATATAATTTCGTATTTTTGATGACATTGCAATATTAGGATACCATGAACCATATCAAGTGGTACCATAATATAGTACCATATTACGTACATGGCGTTCGGTTAGGCTTAAACTTGGTATTCTACGTATCTTCGGTGACATTGTAATATTATGGTACCATGGAGCATATAAAGTGGTACCTTCTATAGTACTACATTATGATACCACTTCCTGACGTTCGATTGGGCTCGTATTTGATATATACTTGCGTATGTTTGATAACATTGCAATATTATGGTACCGTGAAGCATATCAAGAGGTATCATAATGTAGGACCATATTACGATACCATTTCCTGGCGATCGATTGGGCTTAAACTTGGTATACTACGGATCTTCGGTAAATTTGCAATATTATGGTTCCTTGAAGCATATCGAGTGGGGTATAATATTATGATATCATTTCCCGGATTTCGATTGGGCCCTAATTTGGTATACTTACGTTTCTTTATAAAGATTTGTTGTGTGTTACTGCATTTTAATAAATTATTTCCATTATTATTAAACTTATATTTCATTACTAACTTTCCAGCATTAATAAATATCACTATCAATCGCCCTGTATATTTTTAAAGGTAATTAAAGGTATTTTCTTAGTTAACAATATAAGGTATATTAAAAATGCATTTTTTGAGTATATGTTTTGTAATAATATACTTAAAACTATTTATAATACTACTATATTTAAGAGCCAAACGAACAATTAACATAAGTGTGTCTGACAAGAAAAGAAGAATAGAAAGAAACTATTATACACCAGAAAAAGAATGGGATGCCAATTAAAGGTCTTTTTGAATCTGGCAACTGTGCATATTTAGGCGAGCTTCAAGGCCGTCGACGTGCCGTCGATCTAAAACCGAAAGTTCAAAATTTCCAATTATATTCTGATTATGATATTGTCGCGCCATCTAGTATTTTATTTGTGCAATTTTAGCTCTTTCATTACGAGTATTTTTCTGTTGCGTAGCTAGATATTCTGTGATTCTGGCGAGTGCCTAGTTTACCTTAATTTTTCACATTAAATTTCTTCCATAGAGAAAATACCAAACATCGCTTTTTACAACGATAACAAAACAATTATACATAACCACAAAAAACAAAGGGAAATTACACCAGATGTCTGTCAACGTTGCCAACGTTTAGCCCAATTTAATGTTATCCTTATATTGCCTATTATTCAACTTATCCTTATTTATCCTTGTATTTTACAACATGTTGCAAACGCGTTAACTGAATCTAACAATCAACTGAATCAATACAAACTGTCGTTTTCCTTGGAGCCTCCGCGACGTATGAGACCCTGTATAGGGGTGAGAAGCACCCGGTAGATATCGAAATCACATTAAAAGAATGCACTAAAACGCCTACACAATTATATCTACGGATGCTGAAAGAATGTCTCAATTAATCGACATTTTTTATTCGGAACGTATTTTACTTGTTCGGCTTTCAATGGGTCGCGTCGTCCCGACTACGATTTTCAACGAGCCAGAAAAAATCTGTTGTTCCATTTTTAATTTTTGAAGGGCGCACCTACAGCATACTAATTTAGGAATTTTATTACCCTGAGATTGTCAGGTATTTTCGTTTTAATTAATATTTTACAATTTTGTGATCCAATAAAAATTTAATTAGTACTTGATCACGCCATTGGTGTATATTTATGAGAGATGAGCAGAACATCAATTGCGATTTTCCAATTTTATTTTTTAGATTTTAAATTTTTTTTAAAAACATTTTTAAAATCTAAAATTCTAAATCCCGATTTTTCCAATCGCAATTGAAACTGCGATTGCGATTTTTAAATCGCAGCGACTGTAACCGCCGATTGCGAGTTTAATATTTACTACACCAAATCATTCGTAAAAAATTGCTTTTTCTAAATATGCCGATGAGCCACCCGCGTTTCATTTGAAAAAATTGAGATATTAAAAATACGATTTAGGCATCTTTTAACTGGCCGGGACAAGACGTGAAAAACAATAGACGGTCGAATCTATTTTTCCAAGCCGTCTTGATTAAAAATTAGTGTTTTTAACATAGCCATGACATTCTACAATATATCCCATAAAAAAATTAAAAAAACTTGAAAATATAGTTGAATTCTTTCCTCTCTCTCCTTCCTATAGTTGAAGTCCTAAAAATCAAAGGGTGTTTTTATGGTAATATCATTCCTATTTCATTCTTTGATAGATTATTGATCTAATTTTAATTAACGTCATATTTTTGGCTGTTTTAAAATGTTAAAGAAGCACAAAGAATGCATTTTTCCCAAAATGTTAAAAATAAAAAAGTTTTTTTCCTCTTCTAAAGAGAATCCGGGGACATACTGTAGATTGAATTTTAAAATACGCTTTTTAAGTGAAAATGTCAAAAGTTGCCATATGATATGCCATTCTATTCAGAGTGGCATTTTCTCTTGAACAAAGTATAAAAATACCGAGGGTGCCATTTAAAAATAAAAAGTTGTACTCATATCCGGTGAAACAGGAAATGCCCGAAAACCATTGAATACGTCAATCAATTTTAATTCCAGATAAGACTAAGATACTAAATCTTGTTTTTTTTATCAGAAAAAATAAAAAAGTTATAGGGGTGAACCACTCTTGAGAAACACCCGATATATTATTGTTCGCGGCTCTAAAAAATAATACCTTCTCTATAAATAAATAATATCAGAGAGAAAATTCAATCACAGTTTACATAGAATGCTTCACTAGACCACAAAATTACATTCGCAACAATATCGCAAATCGCAACTCTTAAACATTCTAAGATATTTATTGTTATAGCTTATGTAGGGAAACCATATTTTGGTAAAATGTTTCGAAACAAAAAGCTATTTATGTTACGAAACTTATGTACCAAAAATATGTCGAATTAATATCAGAAATTTTGTTTCTAAAAATGCTACTTTGGTAGAGCCTATTTAGAGCACTTGGTCACCTTTTTTAATTTATAAAATGTAAATATTTTTGTTACAGAAAGATCAATGGCTACCTTAAATCAGATGCACCGCAAGGGTCCTCATTACAAAGAGAGGGTAAAGAAGAGGCCTCTGGATGGCAACCCGTTCATGAAGGGTGTAGTGTTAAGGACGGTAATAAAAAAACCAAAGAAACCTAATTCAGCTAATAGAAAATGCGTCCTGGTACGACTATCCAACGGCAAGGAAATGGTTTCCTACATTCCTGGAATTGGGCACAATTTGCAGGAGCACAATATAGTTTTGTGCAAAGTGGGAAGGGTTCGGGATTGTCCCGGTGTAAAACTGAAATGCGTCAGAGGAAAGTACGATTTGGGACACGTCATTAAGCAACAGCAGAAATAGATTTGTTTTTTTTATTGTTAGATATTTGTAATATATATGGATGATTAAGTCACCTGAATTTTAGATTATTTAATGAAACAATTCTTCCATAATTAACAATTCAATAACCCACTATTGGTATAGTCGGAAACTTTCAATATCGGTTCCCTCTTTTATGAAAAAAATCCTGTATTTTTGTATATTATAGCTGAATTTTAATTTTGATATTTCGTTTTTGGTTTGGTTTAAGGTAATTTTGATTTTTTTTTTGGTAAAGGTTATTTTGAAAAATTTTTTTGGAATTTAAATGAAATGAAAAAAAAGTCGAGAAATTCTCCATTTTTTGGCTATTTTTTACTCGTCTTTAAAGCTCTTAGAAAAATAGTAAACCCGATTATAAAATTTTAAAAATTACAATGCTTATGGGAGATCTTATATGTACTTTTAGAAAATATACACTATTAGAGCTTAAACGCTTTGGTTTTTATTAGAAAATTAGTTTTTTGAACCTTCGTTTCTGAGTAAATTTTTTGATGATAGTTAAAACTTTGCCTACAACAAGGACGATAATTTATATATTTCTACGCCTTTTAATTGGTAAATAACAGTAGTTTTGTCAAAATTGGGGACATAACCAAAATATCCAATTTTCATGACTATGCATGGAAAAAAGTCGGAAAATTTTAATTTTTTGCTGTGTACCCTTTTTGAAGCCCTTAGGAAAATAGATAACCCTCTCATAAAATTTTGAAAATTACAGCGTTCATAGGAAATTTTATGTAGGTACTTTTAAAAAATACAAACATATTCGGACTTGAATGCTTTAGTTTCATTAGAAAATTGATTGTTTGTACCCTTGTTTTTAAACAAATTTTGATGATGGTTAACACTTTGTTTACATCAAGGACTGTGGAGTAATATCAGGAATAAGGACAGTACGAAAATGGCTTATATTTTCATTTTCTACCTCTAATTAGTAAATACCAGTAGTTTAATCGAAACTATGATATGTTGATATATCATATTGCTGCTCCTATTTTGGTTGCAAAGAGGATTATTTCTGCTTGCTAATAAATATAGAATCTTGCTTTTAGTTTTTAAGATACAAGGATATTTTGAAAAATTTTGTTGGAATTTAAAATGAAATGAAAAAAAAGTCGAGAAATTCTCCAATTTTTGGCTATTTTTACCGTCTTTAGAGCTCTTAGAAAAATAGTAAATCCGATTATAAAATTTTGAAAATTACAATGCTTATGGGAGATCTTATATGTACTTTTAGAAATATACATTAGAGCTTAAACGCTTTGGTTTTTATTAGAAAATTATTTTTGAACCTTCGTTTCTGGAGTAAATTTTTGATGATAGTTAAACTTGCCTACAACAAGGACGATAATTTATACTTTTACGCCTTTTTAATTGGTAAATAACAATAGTTTTGCCAAAATTGGGACATAACTAAAATATCCAATTTTCATGACTATGCATGGAAAAAAAAGTCGAAAATTTTAATTTTTGCTGTGTGCACTTTTTTGAAGCCCTTTGGAAAATAGATAACCTCTCATGTACTTTGAAAATTACAGCGTTCATAGGAAATTTTATGTAGGTACTTTTAAAAAATACAAACATATTCGGACTTGAATGCTTTAGTTTCATTAGAAAATTGATTGTTTGTACCCTTGTTTTTAAACAAATTTTGATGATGGTTAACACTTTGTTTACATCAAGGACTGTGGAGTAATATCAGGAATAAGGACAGTACGAAAATGGCTTATATTTTCATTTTCTATGCCTTCTAATTAGCAAATACCAGTAGTTTAATCGAAATCCATGATATGTTGATATATCATATTGTGCAGCGTTCTATTTTGGTTGCAAAAGAGGATTATTTCGCTTGCTAATAAATATAGAATCTTGCTTTTTAGTTTTTAAGATACAAGGTTATTTTGAAAAATTTTGTTGGAATTTAAATGAAATGAAAAAAAAGTCGAGAAATTCTCCAATTTTTGGCTATTTTTTACTCGTCTTTAGAGCTCTTAGAAAAATAGTAAATCCGATTATAAAATTTTGAAAATTACAATGCTTATGGGAGATCTTATATGTACTTTTAGAAAATATACACTATTAGAGCTTAAACGCTTTGGTTTTTATTAGAAAATTAGTTTTTTGAACCTTCGTTTCTGAGTAAATTTTTTGATGATAGTTAAAACTTTGCCTACAACAAGGACGATAATTTATATATTTCTACGCCTTTTAATTGTACAATAGAAGTTTGTCAAAATTGGGGACATAACCAAAATATCCACTTTTCATGACTATGCATGGAAAAAAGTCGAAAATTTAATTTTTTGGTTAAAATTTTTGAAGCCCTTGGGAAAATAGATAACCCTCTCATGTAATTCTTGAAAATTACAGTGTTCATAGAAATTTTATGTAGGTACTTTTAAAAAATACAAACATATTCGGACTTGAATGCTTTAGTTTCATTAGAAAATTGATTGTTTGTACCCTTGTTTTTAAACAAATTTTGATGATGGTTAACACTTTGTTTACATCAAGGAGAGAGACTGTAGAGTAATATCAGGAATAAGGACAGGACGAAAATGGCTTATATTTTCATTTTCTATGCCTTCTAATTAGTAAATACCAATAGTTTTATCGATATATAATTGGTGATATGTTGATATATCATACTGTACCTACAGTGTTCTATTTTGGTTGCAAAAGAGGATTATTCCGCTTGCTAATAAATATAGAATCTTGCTTATTAGTTTTTAAGATACAAGGTTATTTTGAAAAATTTTGTTGGAATTTAAATGAAATGAAAAAAAAGTCGAGAAATTCTCCAATTTTTGGCTATTTTTTACTCGTCTTTAGAGCTCTTAGGAAAATAGTAAACTGATTATAAAATTTGAAAAATACAATGCTTATGGGAGATCTTATATGTACTTTTGTGAAAATATACACTATTAGAGCTTAAACGCTTTGGCTTTTATTAGAAAATTAGTTTTTGAACCTCGTTTCTGAGTAAATTTTTGATGATAGTTAAACTTTGCTCACAACAAGGACGATAATTTATATATTTCTTACGCCTTTAATTGGTAAATAACAATAGTTTTGTCAAAATTGGGGACATAACTAATATCCAATTTTCATGACTATGCATGGAAAAAAGTCGGAAAATTTTAATTTTTTGCTGTAAAATTTTTGAAGCCCTCTGAAAATAGATAACCCTCTCATAAAATTTTGAAAATTACACCGTTCATAGGAAATTTTATGTAGGTACTTTTAAAAAATACAAACATATTCGGACTTGAATGCTTTAGTTTCATTAGAAAATTGATTGTTTGTACCCTTGTTTTTAAACAAATTTTGATGATGGTTAACACTTTGTTTACATCAAGGAGAGAGACTGTAGAGTAATATCAGGAATAAGGACAGGACGAAAATGGCTTATATTTTCATTTTCTATGCTTTCTAATTAGTAAATACCAGTAGTTTTATCGAAATCCATGATATGTTGATATATCATATTGTGCAGCGTTCTATTTTGGTTGCAAAAGAGGATTATTTCGCTTGCTAGTAAATATAGAATCTTGCTTTTTAGTTTTTAAGATACAAGGTTATTTTGAAAAATTTTGTTGTAATTTAAAATTTTCTTTCTTAAAAGGTAAAAACGAATTCTTATAGGACTTAGCTAGATTCATGAAAAGCGGGACATACTATAGAAGACAAAGATGAACGGAGTAAGGTACAATGTATAACTGTAACAAGATGAACGTAATTGTGTAAAATGGTCAAAACAATTTTCGGCAAAAGAAAGTTCCCAGAAAAAAATCTGTTTAGACACAGTCTATTACATACTAAGCCTTTTACAACTTGCGAATTACCGTCTGTAAAAAACGTCCTTTTTAAAACCTCGCAATAAAATGCTTTTTTTCGAGAGGAAAAAAGTTAAGAAAAGGTCAATATCAATAAATCTGCAATTTACCCTTGCCAAAAAGGGTGCGTATAATAAAAAACTGTAGAAATATTTTTCCTTGGCTATTAGGTATTTGCGAAATTTAGGACTAACGGTACATTTTTGGAATGCGCCTGAAAGGATATTTATGCAGTTGTCGAAGTGCATGAGTAATCAGTACGGCTGCCTTGAACGGCTAAAAAACATTTACCGGACTTAACTTATATTAAGTTACAAATTAAGCTAAACATATCAAGTCCCTGTTTATGCCAAAACGAATAAAGCAAAACCATTTGAAGTCCAAATAAAAGTATATTAGTGATATAATAAAAAAAACATTTGTAAAACAGGAATGTATGTTGCAATTTGGAACCAATTTACTATATTCATTTGATTTAAATGGACTACCCTATAATATCAGAACTGTCAAAATCAATTTTAGTCACTGTGGATCCGTGGACATAATATTCTAAACTAACTAAAGATGTTTGAGCCAAATTGAGTTTACGTTAAGCTTATCTAGCCCAGTGCTGACATCGGAGTTAATTTGATTTTAAACCGACTATTTTATTTATTGGTACAGATAGCGTAAAACGAGAAAGAGCAATTGGTAGAACATAAAAAAGTTAAGTAACTTCACGTGTCCCAAACATTCAACCATGTGTATATCCATAGAATATAAAGATAATTCTGAACTACTCTGAGTGGGCACGTGCGCTCTAGCTCTGCCAATCGAAAACGCCATTAGAAACCGCCCGACTTCCGATTCCGACAAGACTCGAATGTGAACGAATAACTTAGCGGGAAATTTAAACATAGAACTGCATAATTTTCCTGTTAGGCTTGATTGCATAATATATTGCATTTTTAACCCATCAGATTTCTTCAAAGGCTGTCATGCATTATGGTCATTGGATAATTTAGGAAATCATTTTTTATTGCGGTCGGGTTAGATTTATTAATAAAAGAAGTAGAGGTAGGTTAGAGTGACTTCTTCCCCTAGGAGATGCAAGACCTTGTCGTTGGTGGGGAAGCTCCTGGTCAGGTGCTGGGGGGAATCCCCTCTAGCACTTGGCTTGGTTTAAGAAGCATCTCACTCATCGTCTTGTCCCTGTCTGTAG